ATAAATACATTTGTCTCAGTGTCTCTGCTCCTACACAGGATGTGTGCCTTTTAAACAAAAATTATAAGATGAAGTAAACAAGAAAAATAACACACTGTCACAAGACAAAGGAATCAACAGAATCAAACTCAGATATGATCCAGGTGTTGGAACTGTCAGATGCAACTTAAAATAACTGTGATTAATATGTTAAAGGCTCAAGTAGAAAAGGTAGACAACAGATACCAACAGATGGGGAATATCAACAGAGAGTTGGAAGCTCTAAGAAAGAATCGAATGGAAATCTAGTAATTAAAAACACAGTACCAGAGGTGAAGAATGCCTTTAATGGATTTGCCAGTAGACTTGCAAATGTTGAGGAAAGAATCAGGAAATGTGAAGATAAATTGCTAGAAATTTACCCAATCTGAATCACAAAAATAAAAAATCATGGGAAGAAACCCCACAAACCCCCCTAGATCACCCAAGAGCTGTGGGTCAATTTCAGATGATCTAATATGTGCAGGTAGAATCGAAGGAAAAGAGAGGGACTTCCTTCGTGGTCCACTGGTTAAGACTCCGTGCTCCCAGTGCAGGGGGCTCGGGTTCGATCGTTGGTCAGGGAACCAGATCCCACATGCTGCAACTAAAGATCCTGCATGCTGCAACTAAAGGATCCCGTGTGCCACAACTAAAGATCCCACATGCCTCAACGAAGATCCCACACGCAGGATCCCTTCGTTGCTACGAAGATACCATGTGCTGCAACTAAGACCTGGCGCAGCCATAAATAAATATTTTTTAAAAAAAAGAAGAAAAAGGTTTTTAAAATGAATTCAATGGAACAAAAATATTTTTCAAAAATAAAGGAGAAATAAAGTCTTTTAGACAAACAAAAACTGAGAGAATTCATTACAAGCTTACCTGCACTACAACTTGAATCTACACAAAGAATTGGTGAGCACTGGAAATGGAACAAGTGAAGGTAAATATAAAATAAATTTTGTTTTTTAAATTGTTCTAAAGAATGATTAAGTGCTCATGGATAGACCATATTATGGATCAGAAAATCTTAAAAAAAATTTTAAAAATTTAAATTATACAAAGAATATTTTCTAACTATAATGGAATTAAATTAAGAATTAATAACAGTAAAAAGTATCTGGAAAATCCCCATATATTTAGGAATTAAACAATACACTTCTAAATAGCTTGTTGGATCAAAGAGGAAGTCTCAGAGAACATGAGAAAACATTAAAAAAAATTTTTTTAATTGAAGTATAGTTGATTTACAATGCTGTGTTAGTTTCTGGTGTACAGAAAAGTGATTCAGTTATATATGTATATTCTTTTTCATATTCTTTTCCATTATGGTTTATTACAGGATATTGAATTTAGTTCCCTGTGCTATACAGTAGGACATTGTGTTTTATCTATTTTTTATATAGTAGTTTGTATCTCCAATTCTGAACTCCTAATTTATCCCTCCCCTAACCCCCTTTCCCCTTTGGTAACCATAAATTTGTTTTCTGGAAAACATTTTGAATTGAATGAAAAATTATTAAATATATCCAAATTTACAAGTTGCAGCTAAAGCAGGGATTAGAGAAAAATCTGTAACATTAAATGCTTATAGTAGAAAAGAAAAGGCAGGGGTTAGAGAAAAATCTATAGCACTAAATGCTTATAGTAGAAAAGAAAAAAGGCTTCAAGTCAGTGATCTAAGTTTTTACCTAAAGGTAGCAAAAAAAAAAAAAAAAAAAGACCAAGTTATCCCTAAAGCACGCACAAGGAAGAAATAATTAAAAGTGAAAATCAGCGAAATTCGTTATTGTTCTAGAGGTCCTATAGCCAATGCAGTAAGGTGAGAAAAAGAAACAAATGGCATATGGATTGGAAAGGAAGAAATACAGATGTCTGTATTCACAGAGAGCATGATTTTTTTATGTAAAAAAACTGTATATTAAAAAATGGGGGGAGGGAACTGTGTGTTAATGTCATAAAAGAAAAAGGCTGTTGGAAATGCTCCAGGTTAAAGGATACTGAAGAGACATGACAAAAAAATTCAATACCTGCTCCCAGATTAGATCCTGAGGGGAAATGCTACAAAGGACGTGAATGGATCAACTGACAAAATTAAAATATGGTTGGAAGGTTAGAAGTCTAACGTGACATCCAACCTACACACATCGTAACACAGCCCATATCTATATGAAATTATGAAGGTGATAACTGCTGTTATAAAAGAGAATTTTCTTTTCTAATTAATTATTTTTGGCTGCATTGGGTCTTCATTTCTGTGCACGGTCTTTCTCTAGTTGCAGTGAGCGGGGGCAACTCTTCTTTGCAGTGCACGGGCTTCTCATTGCAGTGGCTTCTCTTGTTGCAAAGCACGGGTTCTAGATGCGTGGGTTTCAGTAGTTGTGGCATGTGTGCTCAGTAGTTGTGGCTCGCAGGCTTAGTTGCTCCACGGCATGTGAGATCTTCCCGGACCAGGGCTTGAACCTGTGTCCCCTGCATTGGCAGGCGGATTCTTAACCACTGCGCCACCAGGGAGGCCCCTGGTTCACGGATTCGTAACCACTGTGCCACCAGGGAAGTCCAAGAGAATTTTCTTAGTCTTAAGAAATACTGAAGTATTTAGGGGTAAAGGACCATGATATATATAACTTATCCTCAAATGGTTCAGGAAGAAAAAAAAAACAACTATGTAGAGAGACAGGAAGAGAGCAAGAGAGTGTAAGTACAGATGATAAAGCAAATCAGAATAAAATGTCATAGGTAAATCTAGGTGTTTCCTGTACTCTTTTTATTTTTGTAACTCCTTGTAATTTGAAATTTTTTTTTAAGTTTTAAAAAACATTCTTCAAAAATGGCAAAAGAAGAGAGCCATCATATTTGAAGTTAGAAATCACTTTTCTCCCAGTAAGCACTGTGAGGGATGAGGTAATGTCTGCTTCCAGAACAAAGATAAGTTTGCTTACTGCTTATTATAATACATCAGTTTCCCCAAGCCCAGTGTTCCTCTCCTATAATGCAGCCCATTGTGCGTGCAGCCATCCATCTGGGCCCTCTGTGTTGCCCTCATGTGAACTGACACTAACATAGTGATGATCGTGCTCCTTGCTGGGCTATGAGTAAAGTCCTTTGTCTCTGACACAGCGTCTCATGTCTTCTGCCAGCACCTAAGAACAAGTAACGGGATAACTTTTTAGATGGGAGGGGTAAAGTCAGATCCCAGACCTGATAGTCTAGTCCTCTGAACATGTCATCCTCATTCCTATTTTTGTCTTTTTTCTCACGCTGAATTCTTTGCTAGGAATACCTTTCCCATTTTGCCTGCCCAAACCTTATATGTTCTTTCAATGTATGCCTTTAGTTGTACTTCTGGTTTAGTAATCTCTCCTTCCCTAGATTCTTAGAAAATTTTTGTTTTCTCCACTACTCATTAGTCATTTCTTCCTCTCTTCCTTTACTCCATTTTCTTTCTCCATCCATTTTCCTTTTCCTCTTCCCCACTCTTCTGTCTTTCTCTTATTTAAATGTAATCAGATTGAATATGACAAACATGTTAGACTATGTGAGAGCAGACACTTTATTATATACACCTTTGTTCCCATATAGAGCAAAGTATAGGTTTCATTTATGTATTTCTAATTGACTGATTCTTACTATGAGCAGCTAAACTGTTCACAAACATGTTTTTAAAACCCTTTATTTTAGGTTATTGTATTATTTTACATAGATCAGAAGTACTAAGTAGGATCATAGGATTTTCAGGGTTGAAAGGGTCTTAGAAATCATTCAAGGAAAACCCCTTTATTTTCCTAAAGAAAATAGGCCATGGTTAGTGAAATCCATTATCACTAAGCAAGGACTTATATCACTATTTTTTTTTTACTTCTCACTATGGTTGTTAGTGATTATAATTTTATCATACTGCTTTAAACTCAGTTTCATGTGCTGGTGTTATTTATTGGAGGCGACAATTGTAAAATTATCATTTGGATTACCATTAATAAGTTAGTGTTTATTAGCATGTGCATTTTGTGGAAAACTCTTAGGTCAGATTCACCTTTTGTGGTACAATAGTGTTCAAAAATGTGACTCCCAAAAATCTAATTTTAAGAGGATTACTCCTCTGCTCATTGGAATCTGGTCTAATAAATTAGTATTAAAATCTTTTTCTTGGCCACTTAGGCTGTACACCACAGTTATTAAGATCATTGGATTCTAGAACTAGATTTCCTATATTTGAATCCCAGCCCTGCCACTTCCTGGCAGTGTGACCTGGGTTATGTTACTTAACCTCTCTGTGCTCTGATTTCTTATTTGTAAAATGGAGATAATTACAGTAACTATCTCATGGGTTACTGGGAGACTAAATGAATTAATACGTGTAAAGTGCTTAAAAGAGTGCCTGGCACAAAATAAGTGATACATATTTTAACTGTTTTTTTCTTTTACTAAAAGATGGCTAATAATCCATGATAGTTTCCATTTAACTTTTCAGCCTAAGTAAGAGGATAGTTTATGCATGGCATCAGCTTCTGAGGGATTTGTTTCACTCCTCTATATTTTGAAGTTGTTTTTTTCCTTAGTGTTTATTACTGCTAAGGAATTCTTTTTACTAGTGCCTGTTACCATACAGTTTTCTTTTACACATAATTCTTTGTATGTTTTGTATGTGTTACGTGTTTTGTGTGTGTGTGTGTTCTTTTTTTTTTAAACAGTTTGATGTAATAATTCCACCTTAGTGACTTTTAAATAATTCCATGAGTCTGCGCTATACAAATGAGGGTAGTTTAGATGTGCACTTAACAGAAGCTATGGAATATAACCTGATACTTTGGTTATATATTTCCACCTCACGTACCTTTAACTAATATTCATTTCTAAATTATGATTGATTAAAAATACTAGACCATATAAATCCAAGTATGACCATATGGTGCTTTTAAGAATAACTGATCTCCCAGTAACGTGGTCTCAGTAAAATGTTCTCTTTTTTAATTATGTAGTCCTCTTCGCCATCCTCATCACAGCCTCATTCTAGCCACTGCAGAGCGAAGGCCTCATCATGGTGTCACCATGCATCCCTGCCCTGGGCCAAACGTAACCATGTAGGCCCTGCAAAGGCTACCAGTCCATCTCTCCGTCTTCGTCGCTGGCGACCCTTCTTACGCCTACCATCTTTGGGTCTCCATTCTGTTGTAAGTGTAGTCAATCTTCCATCTCTTCTTCCAGTGACAGGGGCAGTCCATTTTTTCCCTTAAACTTCTTCAGTCTTCAAAGTGCTTTTCTCTTGGTTCATCAACCATTAGCTTTTTCTCCCCCAGTAAGACTGCAAGCATACCTCTATGTTTTGCAGTCCAGCTTGACTCTCACCAGTGCCTTGGTGAACATCCATCTTTCCACTCCATATAACACCAACAGGTGCCTGCCTTTTGATGAGTGCTGATCGACATTCATGATAATGTTTAAGTTCCTGTCAGTTGTTAAAGTGAATATGTATTCTCTTACCCTTCATCTTTCCAATTTCATTTAGTTGACTCAGGTCAACAAATGCTGTGTACTGTCTGAGTTCTTTGCCATCTCTTACTTTATTTTTTTTCACGTTTCTGAACATGACTTTAGTCTCTTGTCATGCTTTGGGGTTATTTTACTTACTCTATCCTTAATCTAAGCCTCCATGGTGTAGGGTGTTTCATCTAAGCTATTTTATTCCCTGAGATGGCTCAGGTACTTGGTTTAATCTTGATCCAATCTTCCCTGCCTATTCAGTTTCTAAAGATCTTTTCTCAAGTAGGAGGTGACGATTTTTCTCCTTGTGAATTGATATAGACTTCCCACAAATTTTATAATTTCTCCTTTTTAAGTTGATAATATTAGCAAACTGTTAAAAAGTACATTTGTTCTTGTAATTGTGCTAATTACCTAATTACCTTAAATGTTGAGGTTGATGATGCAATTCTAATAATTCTCATAATTGAAATAAGATGCAGGATGGCAACTATAGTTCTTTTCTTTCTGATGTTTTAGAAAATTAATGGTAATGGCTATAGCTTGGCAGAGCCTACCTAGAAATGCTACATCTGAAAGATTTGGTGTATGCCACACGTTTATAAGAAACTCGACACTTCAGTAAATCATCGTGACTTTTGAAGCCAGAGGAAGTCTGATTACACATACTTTCATGCTTAAAAAAATTAAAAGTTGGTGTCAGACATTCTTTCCTTCCCCTTATTTACTCTTCTAGAGCTATTCTCAAACTATGAGGTGGAGTCTTGGCACTTTTCCTTAAACATCTGCTTCCACCAAATATCAGTATAGTCATCAAAATAGCCTTTCGTCCGCAAACTGGTATCAACAAACCGGTGTCTCTCTATTTCATTATCCTCATTGGGTCACAACATGCGTTTGTCATATTTATCCATCTGATATTTATTGCTTCCCTACTGTGCCATACGCTGGCACAGTAGGAGATGCAAGTGAATTAGATGATCAGAGTAAAACCGTCATTTTCTAAATTCTGACTTGGGCACAGTTGATTCCAAATAGGAATAAATTCCTTTGTACTTAAAAAATATTCTAAGTATAAGTGAACATGTCATAAAAATTGGCATTCTCCGTTTTATGTTTTTATGTAATATTGATCTTTTCCCCATGTTAATTCCATTGCTTTATAGCTTCATAAGTGTTTTCATAGCCTAGTGGTTAAGAACATGGATTCTAGAATGACATTGCCTGGATTTGAAACCAGATTCTATCACTTACTAGCTTTGTGACCCAGAGCATGTTACTTAACACTTCTGTGCCTCAATTTTCTTGAGAGTACAATGGGTATAACTATATTACCTACCTCATATGGTTTATATAACAATTAATTGGTCAATTCTTATAAAGCACTTAGAACAGTGCCTGGTATATATTTAGCGCCACAATTATAAATTAAATTTAAACTGTTTTTTATAATTTGAAATTTTTATTTAGCATTTAGTTAATTTCTATCTAATTGATTTGTCACATCGTTTTTTTAATCCTTCAAGGTAATAAGTATGTTCTAAATGAAGAAACTTTGTAAAAAATAAGATATAAAAATGTAGGTAAAAATTATCTAATCTGTAGCTTCTGGTTTTTGCCTTTTGTTAGTTATTGGTCACTTTTTGAAACAGAAGACATACTGGAATTTGCTTTTTTTTTTGGCGGTACGCGGGCCTCTCACTGTTGTGGCCTCTCCTGTTGCGGAGCACAGGCTCCCGACGCGCAGGCCCTGCGGCCATGGCTCACGAGCCCAGCCACTCCGCAGCACGTGGGATCTTCCTGGACCGGGGCACGAACCCGTGTCCCCTGCACAGGCAGGCAGACTCTCAACCACTGCGCCACCAGGGAAGCCCTGGAATTTGCTTTTTATGTATTGTTCTTGTTTTCAGTGGAATAATGTTTAAGCAATTGCATAATTATAGATTTCAGACTCTGACTAATTGAAGTTGACCAAAGGAAAAGGCTTGTAATAGGTGCTGAGGTCTTGTGGAAGGTTTAGAAATTTTGAGCATTTATAATAGTTGGAAGGATTTTCATGCCCTCTTCGGTGTTTTGTATTTTTAGTATGCACTTTTGGATAAAAGGTACAATGACTCACAATTTTGAGTCACTAGATTTAGTGACTTCTTACATTTGTAATAATGTAGTCTTATAATAACACATAATGTTTATATGACACTTAACAGTTTACAAAGTAGTTTCATGCATTTCCTTTAAACCTCAAAACAGATAAGAAACCCAGTACTCATAGGGGTTGGGTACGTATTCAGGTCTCTGGTCTGGTTGTATTACTTTTATCTCTAGCATGGTTGTATTTACTGACAAAATGTAAAAACCAGAAGCTATTAGAGGTATTATTCTTAAGAAGAGATGGTGTTAAAATAAGTAATAATTTTAAAGACATAGTAGCTCAAAAGATTTTAAATATACTTTATATCCTATTGGAGAATTATCTTAAAATAAGTAAATCAAGCCCCTTTCCTAGTTGGATAAGGAATTTTTTGTAGTGTTCTTGTTATAGAATTGAATTTATAGTTTGTTGAATTGCCTAGATTTTACCTTGAAAAATTGGGTTCTCTCTGGTCGTTGGTGAAATGGGGGTATTGGATTGAGTGATCACTAAAATCTTTGATTCTCTGACCAGTAAAATAAGGGAACTCATTATGACTGTCTTTAAGTGTTTGAAGAAATATCATGTTCAAGAGGGATTAGACTTTTTTAAGATGATGGAAAATATTAGGAAACATTTTTTGCCTCAGTATGAGGGATAATTCTAACAAAACTGTCAAAATGGAATGGACTGCCTGAAAACCTAGTGGCAGTTCCCTGTTGTTTGCTGGGATACCACAAGATGGGGCTACAATAGAGAGCAGTCTAGCATTGGAGCAACAGTAAAACTACGTAACTGTGATTCCTACCAACTGTGAAATTCTTTAGTTCTAAGTTGAATTTAGGAAGAGCTAGTTTGCCACAGCAATTTATGTTGCGTTGTTGCCGTTCGTAATTCGAGGGCAATAATCCCTGAAGAATAATATGAGGTTAGATGAGTCACTATCTGTAAATGCTTTAGAGGCATCCAGTAAATCCAAGATAGTAATGTTTGTTCTGTTCCTTTCAATTTCTGCATCTGAAAACTTCGTATTACTTAAAGCTTAAAATTATATAATTACTTGAGGGTGAAAAAATAGAAATTTTAGAGTTGATACTGTTGTGTTACTTACTGGATATTAAATAATATGAGATATAACTTGATTATGCCTCTTTAAAACTTTTGCCTCTAAAATCTGTACTTACATTTAACAGTGATTATATTTCATTTCAAACCATTTAGATTTGGTATATAGCTAACACATATTAGTGTTATCTGTGTAGTTACTATATATTGTAAACAGTGCCAGTTTATCATGTATTGACTTGCATAAGTTATTTGAATGTCTAAGAAATGTAGCACAAGTTGCTCATGGAAATTGAATTTGGCAAGCTAAAAAAACCTAGGTATAGTTTTAATATCAAATAGTTCACTGAGAAAACAAGAGAAAAATTGTAGGCTAAGTTAAATTTTACTTTAACTTGTTCAAGTTACTTTAACTTGTTCCCTTTTTCTCCTTTAATCTTTTGGGCTATTTTCCTGCTTCTCTTCGTTTTTTTTTTTTTTTTGCGGTACGCGGGCTTCTCACTGCTGTGGCCTCTCCCGCTGCGGAGCACAGGCTCCGGACACGCAGGCTCAGCGGCCATGGCTCATGGGCCTAGCATGTGAGATCTTCCCGGACCAGGGCACGAACCCGCGTCCCCTGCATCAGCAGGCGGACTCTCAACCACTGCGCCACCAGGGAAGCCCTTCTCTTCATTTTTAAACCTTTTGAATCTAGGATGAATAAAAATACTTATTTTATTCTAAGTCTATATTGCATTTTTCAAAAAATGAGATTAAGGTTACATCATTAAGGGAAGAACTCACTTTCTTGATGTCCTAAAATTTAACTTGCAAAGAGTTTTTTTAAACTCTGTTTATGCTATTATTAAACTTCTAAAAACTTTATTATTTCAAATTTCAGAAATTAGACAAATTAGTTCATGCATTCATTTCATTCAGCAAGTATACACTGTATACCTACTATGTACCAGGTGTTGTGCTAGGTGCTGGGCTTCCAGAGTGAACAAAACTTTAGGTTAAAATCAATTGAGATTAAGAAAGGTGTGCCTTGAGTCAGTGTTTTCCTTGTTGATGGGCAAGCACATTTGTTATAAATGTAGGCATGTTCACTCTGTCCACTATATCAAAGATTAAGCCTTGAATTATATTGGATAAATATTTTTTCATGTCATTTGATATTATATGTATGTGTTTACATGTAGTTGATTGATTTGTTTGACTACTAATATATATAATATGTATTTTCCCCTCCTATTCCAGGCACCAAATATAGATGAAAAAGTAGATCTTCATTTTATTGCATTAGTTCATGTAGATGGGCATCTCTATGAATTAGGTAAGAACTATTTTAATTTATCCTGGGGAAAGAAATAGTAAATGGGGAAATCTGTATTTATGATAAACATGACTGTTGATATTTATTGTGTTTACCTAAATTAATTGATTACCATATAACATTGAGTTGGCATAATGGAAGTTTTCCATTTAAAAATTTTTATTAGAAAAAATAAATATGTTTTTGATGTTCAAGTAACTTATAATTCAAGAATTCCTGCATACCACCTTTGCATTTTAGCAAAGCAGGAAAATGCTTTGCTAAATCATTTAGGAGACTCCTGTAAATCACTTCAGCAGTCTTTACTAAATTTTTGAGTTGGTTATCATCAACATCTTGGATGAACGATCTTGATCCTGAAACTAGTTTTAAAACATAGCGTATTATTCATAATGACTAGTTTTTGTATTCAATAATGAGTATTACTAGTTTTCAGGCTTTTGTACTATCCCTTTGTATCACATCAGATTTTTAAAAAGACTTTACAGGGGTCTATGTTTTCTGGCAACAGTTCCCTAAGGCATGTGTCAAAGTAGCCATGATTAATTACTTGGTATTTTGGCCTATTCCTGCACTTACCTTTTAAAAGTTTAACTATAGGTGGACTACTTTAGTTTGTATTTGGAGGAGAGGATATTTTCATTGATAATTAAAGGATAATTAGAGGATAATTTTAGAGGATAATAACTCGAGGATAGTTTAAATTGATTCATTCAGGCAGAAGAAACTTTTATGATTCTTTCAAAATTGGTAGATAGTACTTATGAGTCCTTTTTGTCTTTCTCTCTGAGACCTTCTTTGATTAAAAAAGGCCGAATAAAGAAACAAAAAAGTGAAATCCTTTTCAATTTCTAGATACCATGATTTTTAGTTCTCTTTCTTCTCATTTGCTGTAAATATTAACTTTTCACTTTCATTTTCCTTAAAGACTGAAGAGTTCCAAAAGGACTCTGATTGTGACTGTAAATGTGGTCCATAAAATTTAGATGGATTTTATATTTGGAATATGGCAACAGAATCATACACTTCATTAAAAAGAAGTGGCTCTATTAAAGGGGACAAGAAAAGGAATGTACATCCCTGTGGGTCATCTACAATAGTAGAGTGATTTGAGTAGGAATCAAATAGTGTCGTCGGAGTATATAACAGACCTGCAGAGCACTTTGGAGCATATGCTTTGCTAATTCAGTCTCTAGAATCTACATAAAGATAAAATGTAATAGGGATTGGGGATTTCAAATGTCTGATTGCTGGAAGCTAGTTTCTGCTCTGAATTCTGAATAATAAAGAGTAACTAGTAGAAGTGGAAGTAAAGAGTGTGCTGAGACTTACAGACACATTCTGTTGGCTTCAAGAAAGTAGATTTAGGAAAGGCCAGAGGAGTGATAAATATCCATAACAAGAGACTATAAAAGTAATGGTGACTTTCAGAATGGGAGACTTCATAATAGAGCAAACAATAACATCTAAAAGATATTCAGAAGAAAAACATCTCTGATCATCTCATGGGAAGGAATGAGTTGTCTAAAAACCTCAGTTTGACTGATTAGCTAGCTTTCTGAGCTCAGAGACTAAAAGGGCAGTAGAAGGAAAGATGTGTATCCGGGATAGGCTACATATGCAGAATGGTTCTTTTTTGTAGCATGCCAAGATCAGCACCAAAGTATTTTAAAATTGGTTTGAACTAAGAACATCAGAAAAGAAAGGCAGAACTACTGAGGTCTTGTTTGGTTCAAGTATTCTTTAGCAGGAAGAATGATCGATGTTGCTGATAGAGAATTAGAGCCCTTTGAGGATTACATTCTCTAAATGAGTTTAAAGAATTTCAGAGTTCTAAAGAATAGCTGGAATCTTTGAGATGTTAGAGAGGACAGGGATGAATGCAAGACAAATGAAGATGGGCAGCTGCTGACTCATTGCAAGGGGAATTGGTGGTAGCCCTGACGCAAATTCCTAATAAAGTTAAAAGGAATGTTGAGCAAGAGGAGTATTGAGTTAGTGCATAGAAAACAGTGGGTAAGAGAGCAGCATATGGTTTTTAAGAAAAAAGTCATTTCTGGGCTTCCCTGATGGCACAGTGGTTGAGAGTCCGCCTGCCGATGCAGGGGACACGGGTTCGTGCCCTGGTCCGGGAGGATCCCACATGCCGCAGAGTGGCTTGGCCTGTGAGCCATGGCGCGTCCAGAGCCTGTGCTCCGCAGCGGGAGAGGCCACAACAGTGAGAGGCCCGCGTACCGCAAAAAAAAAAAAGTCATTTCTAAATATCCTTATTTTAAAAAACAAGGCTATATAATTATAGACGTGGTGCAAGGTAATTTCTACAGGACAATTGTATAACAAAGGGTAGTGGTAGTCTTTAATGTATTCATTCTACACCTAATTGTAAGGTTAGCTGATGAAAGGGACTGAGTTATTCATCTTTCTATTCTCACCTCTTGTCCTTAGGGACAAGTTCTTGGCATATGTCCTTTTGATGTGTCCCTGTCATTCTTTTGAGCACTTTCTAATTTTCTAGTAGAAAAACATTTCCTGGTTCATCCTTTGTTTTCCGTGCCCCAGCCCTGTGTTCAGCCACTTCTCCAAGGAGCCCTGGTTCCTTTTATTGGAAAATGATGATTAGAACCAAGACCTGGGTGCTAAGTGTATTCATTGCTATTAAGATATCATTACTTCTAGGCTTTCTCAGAGGACAGAGCTAGGAAGTATTTGTCTGTATTATATACATAGACACATGTATGTGAATATCGATATACATGCACACACAATTACATCTGTTTTTCTATATATTAAAAAACATTTATTTACATCCACATTTATAATTCTAACCTAATAATATACAGTTTATTCTAGTGTTATCCATATTTGTGACTTCTTTTCTGAACATGGGAAATCTAGCTCTCATTATCCTTCATTTCTTTTCCGATTTACGCATTCCCCTGGTATATAAACAAGCTCTCGACCACCCCAGCCCAAAGCTCTGTTCCAGACACACTGCTTCCCGCCTCGAGCTGGCCCACTGATCCTGGCCTGGTCCCAGACAAAGAGCAACAGCTCGCCAAAGTGTGTAGCTACCTTCTTCCTGGCATTGTGCAAACTCCACCTGCCTCAGCCTCCTTGAACTCTGCTCTTTTCCCTCAGTCTCCTAAGTGAGGCTGCTGTAGGCTGCTTGGGTTTTCCTTTCCGGCACTGGCAGATAAGTGGATATTACTGTTAGGCTTACTAACAGTTCTGGGCTACCTGTTTCCCAGTCTATAAAACAATGGTTTCAGATATCTTGTCCAGGTCTTTAGTTGTTTCCGGTCGAAGGCCTAGTCCAGTACATTATTTCATTCTGGCTAGAGGTGGAAGTTACCTAATGTTATTCCTTGGCTTCCCACAATGAAGATAATCTAGCTTTCCTTTGTCACCCTCTTTACCTACCTCTCCCTCCCAATCACAAAATACATGGTTTACTTTCTCCTGTTCTTCCAGTGTTGTTATAGTTGTTTATATTCTTATGACTACAGAAATACTATTCTCAGATGAGCCATAGTCAATGTACTTTTCTTTTCAACTTTTTTATTTCTTCAGATTTCATAATTGTCCTGTTTTGCTTTTTGGTTTGGTTAATTTTCACTCATATTTTCTTTAAAAGTAGTATCTTTTAGTCCAGGTCTATCACTATGTATACATATTGATTCAAAACTTTTTATTATGTTTAGAAGCCATGAAATTACAGAGGGAGTTGTGTTTTATGGCTTGAACTTGATGTGCCACTTATAAAACATCTGAAATTATAGGCTTGTATAGAGAGTATCAGTTAACTTTGGGTTAGCAGGAGTTTATATAATTCTGGACTTTTTCGTTTTTCATAGTATTGAAAAAGTACTAGTTTATTCAAGGTGATACTGATTACTTTTGGTGGTCAGTAAAATAATCCTAGGTGATTTAGATTGTTGCTCTGTACTCCTACCTTGGTACACAATTAGTAGTAGTAATATATAAACCTTGTAGTGGCTTCCTTTCATTGGTATAAACATGTCAGTCTTACTTAGGAGCCTTCATCAGAAGGCTTTAAAGTGAAGAAAGAAATTTTTTATATTTCTGATGGTCATAACTTTTGAAAAGCTGACATTAATTTTGCATATTCTTTTTAGGAAATTAAAGCCAATAGTATATATTTCTAATAATGTCTGTTTATGAAGATAATATAGGCTTTCAAACATGGAAACAAGGTTCTAAATAACTATTGGTGTTAAAAATATTCGTAGGTAGCATACTTAAAGTGTTTGTTTTAGGATATATTATTTTATCTTTTAACTTTTGCCTCACTGTGGGAAGAGGAAAATGGATGTTGAAAGTACATTATCCTGTCATTCTTAATTAAGGAGGACTAAAGAGATAGGATAACTAAATAGAATATGTGATTCTTGATTAGATCCCACATAAAACAAAACAACATGGATAAAGGATATTTCTGGGTGAATTGGAAAAATTTGTACGTGAAATACATGTTGTTAATTGTTTATAGTATTAAAAAGAAAGAAAGAAAGTACATTATCCTATACAAACAACTAACCATTCACCTGTTCATGTATTTTCCACAGATGGACGGAAACCATTTCCAATTAACCATGGGGAAACTAGTGATGAAACTTTATTAGAGGTAACAATAAAACTTGTTGGCCCACCTTCAGTGTCATTAATGTTCTTGTTATCTTTAAAACATCTCTAAAGATAACTGGTATAGGACTTCCCTGGCAGTCCAGTGGTTAAGACTCCACACTTCCACTGCAGGGGGCAAAGGTTTGATCCCTGGTCAGGGAATTAAGATCCCGCATGCCACGTGGCATGGCAAAAATAAATAAAAGATAACTGGTATAACATTTTTCTGTATTTCTCCTTATCCTGGCTCTCTTGAGAAAATCCAAAAAGAAAAATTTGAACTAGTGTTAAAAATCTACAGCAAATAAAGAGGTTTGCAGAGCTCTTTGTGTGAACAGGTATCAAATTTGAAAAAGACAAGAATAGTATTGAAAGAGATGCACATCATATCCCATATTTCATTAAATCCAAGATACTATCATTTATATCTTGATCTTAGAGATTTTTAAATTTACAAACAAATTTTATGGCTTAGAATCAATAAAATATGTAATTTTCATGTTAAAAGTTTCTTAAAAGCATTTTAAGAAAGAACACTTAGCGGATCTTATACTTTCGTACTAATCAAATTAAACCACCAGCCATTCACTCTTCTAGTGTCCTTTAAGTTATTTTTTATTTGAGAAAAGAAGTCTGCAGTGTAAAATTAGTATGGATTAGGAAAACGTGAAACATTTATTTATCAGTTTTAAGTAAAACACGTTTTTAAATTGAAAGATTATGTATCTTTTTTCCCTATAGGATGCCATAGAAGTTTGCAAGAAGTTTATGGAACGTGACCCTGATGAACTGAGATTCAATGCCATTGCTCTTTCTGCAGCTTAGCTTGTCCAGAATGGAAACACCAAATACTGTATTATTTGCAACAAAATTAAATTTCTTCTGCCATACACTAACTCAAAAATTTTGATATTTTCATTAACTTGACTGATTAAACTTTATGTGAACTAAGCTTTGGCTTAATCTGTGTTTTATATTATTTTTGCCTCAAATTAAAGCTGCAGTTCTTCCGTTTCTTTCTTATGAAGGATTTACCTTATTGGATGACTAGCTGTATCTTTCTTACTCTCTTTGAATTTCATGGGAGATTCTGTATTGGGACACAGGCACAATTTCCATCTGCATAGTATGAACATATATCATATATTTATTTAGCAAACATTTGGTTAGCATCTACTTTTAATGAGCTGAACACTGTTCTAGGCGCTGGAGTTACAGCAGTGAACACTGTGGGCAAGTTTCTTAGTCACGGAGCTTATGTTCTTGTGAGAATAGACAGATGATAAGCACATTAATAAGATACATACCAATAATGACCGCTATGCAGAAATTAAAGTCGGATTTGTGTTAGAGAGTGACTGAGTGGATACTTTAGATTTTTGTGGTTAGGGAAGGCTTCTGTGAGAGGTAACTTTGAAGTTGAGATCTGAATAGCGAAAAGTAGCCAGTCATAGAAATGGGAGAAGAGGGGAGAGTGGTGGGGAGAATAGAGGGAATAATTAATGCAGAGTCCCTAAAGTAGGCAAGTCTCACTGTGTTGTAGGACCAGAAAAAAAGGTTCGTATGACCAGAGCGTTGAAAATAATGGGAAGATAACAAGAGATGAGGTCAGAGCAGGAGGGCTTAGTGATACAGGAATATGGGAAAAGGAATTTGGATTTATTGCAGGTGTGATGGTAAGCCATTGGAGTGTTTTAAGCAGGAGAGTGACCTGATTTGGTTTATAATTTTATATCACTGACGACTCTGTGGATAATATATTGGGGAGGGGGATAAGAATAGGGGTAGAGAGACGTGAGGAACCCACTGCTTTAGTTAAGAGACAGTGATGGCTAGGGTCTTAAAATTAGTAGTAATTTAGATTGAGGTGTGTGAGTGAATTTGGGGTGTGTTTTGAAAAAGAAGGGGCTTCAGTTAAGTCTTAAAGGATAAGGTGGAAGGCAGTGGAAAGGTGGAAGAGTATTTGAAGAGTTAACGTCAAAACACGGTTGGTGTGATGGTCCATCTTTTCAGGAGACTATTGGTTACACAGGTGTATACATTTAGCAAAACTCATTGAAATCTTACTTCACTATATATACATTTTACCCCCCCAAAACAAAACAACAATAAAAAAAAAAAAAAAAACAGAGCAGAGATGGGGTGGAATGAGTATAGCAGAAGACCAGATTGGTCCAGAATGAAGTTCTGAACCCATAGAATTGAATGTAGATGTTTTATACGTGCTTCACTGAGTTAGGGTGGATTCCTGAGGCTGCAACATGAAATGAATGGTATTTTAAGAATCTAAAAAAAGAGGGACTTCCTTGGTGGTCCAGTGGTTAAGACTCTGTTCTCCCAACGCAGGGGGCGTGGGTTCGATCCCTGGTCAGGGAACTAAGATCCTGCGTGCCACATGGCACAGCCAAAAAAAAAAAGAATCTAAAAAAGTGGATATATATATATATATATGTATAACTGATTCACTTTGCTGTACAGCAGAAACTAACAGAACATTGTAAACCAGCTATACTCCACTAAAAATTAATTTTAAAAAAGAAATGGTCAGTAACTTGATGCAGGTGTTAACACTTTGGTAATTATTTTGCAATATATAAATGCATTAAATAAATTGTACACCTTAAAAAAAAGTTGAATAAATTAGCTGTTTGTTATTTAAAGTGTGGTTACATCATTATTACTTGGGGAACTTGTTAGAAATGAAGAATTTCAGACCCCACCCTTTACCTACTGAATCAGAATCTGTGTTTTCAGCAAGATCCCTGAGTGATTCATATTAAGTCTGGGAAGCACTGGATTAGAAAAAATAGACTATGATGAGGTCACTTTGGACCTATCTGAAGAGGGCCTGAATGAAGTGTTGGCAATAGGGATGAAGAAATAATCTGAAACAATGCTGTAAATGGATAGTATATAGAGATGGTGCTTTGGCATGCCAATAACAACAACAAAGTGTGCGCGTTTTTTGTTACATTGTTTGCATTTTGTCCTCAAATTTATCTTGTGTATCATCTTAAATATTTTAAACATTCCTAAGCAGTTTTCTGCCTGTTGCCTTGCTGGATTTCTCCTACATAATTTCTTTCTTTTTTTTTTTTTTATAAATTTATTTATTTTTGTCTGCATTGGGTCTTTGTTGCTGCACACGGGCTTTCTCTAGTTGCGGCGAGCGGGGGCTACTCTTCGTTGCGGTGCATTGGCTTCTCATTGCGGCGGCTTCTCTCGTTGCGGAGCACGGGCTCTAGGCGCGCAGGCTCAGTAGTTGTGGCGCCCGGGCTTAGTTGCTCCACGGCGTGTGGGATCTTCCCGGACCAGGGCTCGAACCCATGTCCCCCGCATTGGCAGGCGGATTCTTAACCACTGCGCCACCAGGGAAGTCCCATAATTTCTTAATAGATTCTTAATCAGTGACATGTTAGCAAGAATTTACATAGTTTCTCAAAGTTTTCTAGGTTGAGTACTATTAAAAAAAAATTTTTTTTATTGAGGTATATTTGATTTACAATATTAGTTTTAGGTGTACAACATAGTGATTCAAAATTGTTATGGATTGTACTCCATTTAAAATTATTATAAAATATTGGCCATATTTCATGTGCTGTACAATATATCCTTGTCGGTTATTTATTTTACACATAGTAGTTTGTATCTCTTAATCCTATACCCCTATTTTGCCCTTCCTCCCTTCCCTCTCCCTACTCCCCACTGGTAACCACTAGTTTGTTCTGTATATCTGTGAGTGTATTTCTGTTTTGTTATATTCATGCCTTTGTTTTATTTTTTTAGATTCCACATATAAGTGATAATGAACAGTATTTGTTTTTCTCTGCCTGACATTTCACTAAGCATAATGCCCTCTAGGTCTATCCATGTTGTTGCAAATGGCAAAATGTCACTCTTTATGGCTGGGTAATATCCCATTGTATATATACCACATCTTCTTTATCCATTAATCTGTTGATATACACTTTGGTTGCTTTCATATCTTGGCAATTGTAAATAATGCCGCTATGAACATTGGGGTTCATTTATCTTTTGAATTAGTGTCTTTGTTTTCTTCAGGAAAACTACACCCAGGAATGCAGTTGCTGGGTCATACGGCAGTTCTATTTTTAGTTTTTTGAGGAGCCTCCATACTATTTTCCCAAGTGTCTGCACCAATTTACATTTCCCACCAAGTATATGAGGGTTTCTTTTTCTCCACATCCTCACTAACATAGATTATTTGTGGTCTTTTTGATGATAGCCATTCTAAGAGACATGAGGTGATACCTCATTGTGGTTTTGATTTGCATTTCCCTGATGATAAGCAACGTTGAGCATCTTTTCATGTGCCTGTTGTCCATTTGTATGTCAAGTTCTGGGTCATTTCTGTATGTTGCTGTTAAGGACCATAATATGTTTTGGGGAAATGGGACTGACTAAAATGAAACTTTAAATTTTTTCTTGGTGGACTTTTGAGAGCTGACTAAACATCACCTTTCAGCAGGCGTAATTATTTGCTTTAAATTATTGAAACAGAGGACCATTTATAAACTCTATAATATTTAACCCCTAATATATTGTGTTCATTTGTGACTAAAACAGAAATTATCTGTATTTTATGGTGAATCAAACTTTAATATATCTTAAATGCAAATGATCTTTAATTCTGTAAAAGTTATTTAAACAAAGATCTGATTTAAATTTAATTTCCATCTTAGATTTGTGTACAGTATTTATTAGGTAAGCTTTATAATTGGGTTGTGTATAACATAAACCTGCTTATTTCATGTAATGAAAATATAGTTTAAGAGGTTTTTAGCCATTAATGTTTTTTTAAATAAATTTATTTTATTTTATTTATTTTTGGCTGCGTTGGGTCTTCGTTGCTGCGTGTGAGATATTCTCTGGTTGTAGCGAGCGGGGGCTACTCTTCATTGTGGTGCACAGTCGTCTCGTTGCGGTGGCTTCTCTTGTTGCGGAGCACGGGCTCTAGGCATGCGGGCTCAGTGGTTGTGGCACATGGGTTCAGTAGTTGTGGCTCACAGGCTCTAGAGCGCAGGCTCAGTAGTTGTGGCGCACAGGCTTAGTTGCCCCGCAGCATGTGGGATCTTTCCGGACCGGGGCTCGAACCCATGTCCCCTGCACCACTGTGCCACCAGGGAAGCCCCTAGCCATTAATGTTTGACTACTACTATAGTTTTCAAAAGAAGCATCTATAGGCTTAAGATTCCTATATTGATGCTTATAAGAAAATTGCAAAGAGGCATATTTTCATTATTTTTTAAAAACTTCTATTTATAGAAATTTATTTCTTTTAGGGAAAGTTTACATACATGTATATAGGTGTATTTACACCCACGCATGCATATATATATATGCATGTGTGGGTGTATATACATTATCTGGAAATTAATAAGTATATATGTGTATATATGTATGTACATACGCATATATGTGCATGTATATATATGTACATACACATTCATACCTTGAATAGGAAAATAACTTTGGTCTAAATTCTCTGCATATTATTAAAATCCCTGACTGAAGTTAAAGTAAAACCAGTTTGAAAAGTGTGTAATCATTGTGAAGGTTTTTAGAGATAATTTAGATGGATTTGTACGCATATAAAGTTTAATAATGTTTTAATCTTACAGAATTCTCTGGCAAGGTCTTAAAATGAGGTTCCTTGTGCTCTCAACAGAATTACTACCAAAAACCAAGTGTGGAATACACTGAGTTTTCAGATAGCAGAAAATAAGTTTTGTCACTGCCTTTGTTCCTTTTGATTTCAAATTTTGACCGCTTACAAGCATACACTATTGTGATTTGGAAGATTCAGTGTCCTAAGGGCATTTTTTTTCTTGGTGCCAATGGTGTCAGTAGATGAGACCAGTCCACCATGCCTTAGTTTCACATAAATTCTTACTTGTTTTGCTTTTCTATAAAAGTTATTCTAAACCTTTC